AGGCTGTCAGGGGCTGGCCGGAGGGTAACCTTGGGCTGTCACCCAGCGCTCCCGGGAGCCGGGTGCTGGGCCCCCCGTTGCCGGGAGAGCAGAGCAGGCCCCTCCTTAGGATAGCAGAGCAGGTAGCCGGTGTGCTCTCTGCTGGTGTGGACAAAGTGTTGTGATTAAAGCATTCGGCTGAACTAACTTTTTTGACCATCGGGAAGCGTACAGCTTCATACAGCCTTTAAGTGATGAGGAAACCTCTTTTCAGGCATTTCCAGATCTTGGTTTTATTTGCCAAACATACTAACTCTTCCATTTTATATTTTAAAGCTTTCTCTGCAGAAGAACTAGCGGTGAAGAGACCTCTGGTAGGTTGACAACTGGGTGTGGCTGACATGCTTGCAATAAAACATGCTTCAGGATGTGATGAAGAAGTTGTATGTTGAAATTAGGAAGTAGCCTGTGTGTGAGGTGAGGAAAGTAAAAGGGGATTTAAGGGACAGAGAAGCAAAGGGAGTGAGTACACCTGTAGAGTACAGAAGAGCATCATAGTAGAACAGAACTCTTTTTTAAAACAGTAGGGTGATGAGGTATTTAAAAGTAAAGTTAATAATTGAACTAGGTGAACAGACTGACTTCTTTGGATCCTAACTTTTGTTCCTGTCTAGTAAAGCCTTCACAGGTTGGAGAATATCCTCTCTTTCTTCCTTCTCGGTGTTGGATTGGCAGAGGTTGGGAATGTCCATCAGTCTAGTGTCTGTCTGGCCTGGTAGGGGTGGAGTAAGTTATGTGAGCATCTTTCTACTGGCAGCGCATACTTGAGAGGACAGTCATCCTAGAAAAGTGATGTTGATCAACCTTGGGGATGTTTTTCTTCCCCGTGTCCAAAAGCAATACTAAAGTTAATGAAAGCTGAAGAGAAGCCGTACTATGGGGAAGCTGAAGGCAAATACTTCACAGCTAGGTATCAGGAGAAAAGGATGTATGTACAACTTTCATTTGGGGGGGGGTTAAAACCAGCGCTGTTGAGCTCAAAGAGCTGCAAGAGTGTGGGGCCACTTCTAACTCAGACAAGAATGGAAGGGAACCAGTTTTCTGTTGTGGGAATGAACCTTCATCCCTTCTGACACCAGAAGTCTGTTTTATAAGTATGTTGCTTCTAAGCACTATTTGTGTGTAGTCTTTTATCCCAGCGGAGCAGCTGGGATAAGAAACATGCTCCGTTTATCCTGCTGAATGAATGGAGGCCAGTTACTTCACGCAGTGGTTGATATTTATTAAATAATGGTATGCAGATGCTACTAGGCATGGCTAGCTTCAAACTTGTGCCTCAAGGCAAAATGTTCGCTAATCCATCATCACTGTAAGATCATCCTGTTTAATGTGTGTGATAAATCTGTGTGGGACATCCGAAAGGAAAGAGAACCCGCAAACCTGAGAGAGAGTTTTGTATGCAACACACATGATGTTTTCAGCAACTCGGTAGTTCTAGAACTGTGCTGACATGGGCACTACTGGGGATATCATTGAAAAGGAAAAACGGTTGTGTTCTTTCTAGCTTGCTTTGGAGAACAGGGGAAATGTGCAGCATGTATAATTAAAGGATGGGGTTTGGGGAGAGAGCAATGTTACATTTTAATTGTAAGTGTGTTGCGCAAAGAGTAATGTCTTAATGTGGCCTTAATCCATAATTTTAGCTACTGGTTATTTATGAAGTGTAACAACTCCGTCAAAACCCAAGTCTTGTCAGTATTGGAAGAATCAACACCATCTCACTGGCTGGTTTTGGAATATTAATCTAGCCTAGCTGCCATAAGTAAGCTATGGGGAAAACACTAATGACACTGAAAACTCAATTCGATATCTCAGGAACAAAAAACACATTAGTGTTCAAATAAATATGATTATTCATACAGATTATGTATTGTAGTTTGCTTTTTTTTATGTTGACAATTTCTTTTAATTGACAGCTCTTAACATTTGGAAAAGCAGAAAAATGGCATCGGAAGACATCACTAAGCTTGCGGAGTCACTTGCCAAAACCAAAGTGGGTGGCGGACAGTTGAGCTTCAAAGGCCAGAGCCTTAAACTCAATACAGCTGAAGATGGTAAGAGAAAATACCCTTGTGTTTGGGAAGTGTCTCCCTGAAATTCTAAAGTCTTGTGGTAAACCTCCTGCCAATCCTGCACGGACAAGTTGTCATAATATTAGCTGTGATGCAAGGGTCATTCAGCTACAGCTGTTTCTGATAGAGACGTTTCCTTCCCTTCTTGTACCCTGCTTTGACCTGGTGCCCTGGCAGTGCTACAGCTGTCGGAATTGGGGTTTGGCTCCCTGGTGTGTAATTCTTGTTTTCTTGGTGTTCTCTCCAAGTGCTTTTGACAGTCACTGTGCGTTAGAAGTCAGTGCTCCTTTTAGAAACAGTAAGCAAGTGGATGACAGCTCTTGGAACAAGTAGGTACTTCAAAGACCTGCACAGAGGAATGGGCTGATATGTTAGTCTGCTGCAATAGTCCAGTTTCTTCCCAAATTCTGACCAATTTGTTAGACTCCTGTTGGTTTTTTTTCTGGAATCTCTCTCTTGCTGGTGTATGTGTGTTTCCCGATTACAAATGTCTTGCAGTGGCTGCTAATGTAGTAAATATCTGGAGAATATGTATATATTCTTAGATCAACATTTCTGCCACACCAAGAAACAGCACGTTCTTTAGAGAGGTTATTTGCTATAGTGTGTAGCTTTTTTACCAATTCCAAAGGTGATGCCTTTTTTTATATGCCATTTTAGTAGTGCAAAGCCACTGAACTTGTGGGGAAAGGCTTTGGAGCTTGGGAATGGTAACAAGTGCCCATTGACAGGAGAGAGCCTGCAGCCTGCTCCTGTGTCTTGCATAGGGTAACTCTAGAGTTAAATTGTTCCACCCTGACATGTTTGTTAAACTGGCATCTACTTTTGCCAATCAGTGGGAGCTTCTGCCTGTTGATGTGGCACCAATTCCCACCAACTTTTAGCTTAGTCCTTGCATCTTTGTAGGCACATACACTCTAGCTTCTAAACCATGTGCTGAATGGCAGAGGAATCTTACTTAGGAAGTAAGGAAACTTACTTTTACAAATAGGAGGATGGCTATCAGAGAATAGAACTAGAAATAAATTATGAAAAGGCAGGGAGGGGAATGGAGAATGTTCTCTCTAGTGACCTGATACTTTAGCTCTGTTCCCATTGCTGTTTCAGGATTCTTTCAGATAATGTTGTTCAGCTGTTTTCGCTAAGGGTAGAATTGAGCAAGTATTGCTGCATCAGTGTTACTGTGGTACCTAAGATGATAGTTAAAAGGCCGGTTAGACTATCTGCTTTTTGCAGCTGAAGGAGTGATCAAGCAAATTGAGGAATTTGATGGCCTGGAAGCCTTGCGCCTGGAAGGCAACACAGTGGGTGTGGAGGCAGCAAAGGTCATTGCCAAAGCCTTGGAGAAGAAATCAGAGCTCAAGGTGAGATCCTCAAGTGCGTGGTGGTGAAGGGGAAGAAGTCATGTAGAAATACTGAAGGCCTGTCTATGCTCTTCCTGCAGTAGCCTGCCTTGAGTTAGCCCCAAAGCTTGCTTGGTGGTTCTTCCAGTAGGAAGAACAACCATATGAAAATATGGCAGAGCTTGGGGACTTTGGGATAATGGGAGCACTTTCTGCATTCCTAACTGTTCCTGTTCAGAAGGCTGCCAATCGTAAAGCTGGGAAGCTCTGCAAGGAAGAGCCTCTCTGCAGAGGCAGCATCTGTAAACAAAGAACTGAGGCAACAAAACTTAAGTTCTAATGGAAAAGCTGGGTCATATCTTCTGGAGAATGATCAGATCTTCTGAAGAATGAATCTTCAGAGAATGCCTGAATAGGGAAGAAATAATGGAGGAAATGCACCAGGAGGTTTTTCCATATCCAAGCTATGTTTCCCTACTACTGTTCTAGCCTAATGTTAGGAGGATGCTGTGCTGCTAGAGCCACTGTCCTTTGCAGGAGAGGAGCATGAAACATTGATTCAGGTTAATCACCCAAGCGTGGCTTTTCAAGCAAGTTCAGATTGTTGAGCTCCATACCTTAGTAAAATCTGCATTTCTAATGTATCCTTCAGTTTCCTGCTGCTTTTTCCTGTGGTAATTTTCTCAGCAGAAACGAATTCCAGCCTGAATGCAAGCAAGAATTCTTGTATAACGTTATTTACAATGTACATTTCAGTGGCTTTATGTCCTTGCAAGTAATTGTAACGTTAGTTCTCGTAGCTCTTTAGTACAATCAAATGACAAGTCCAAGGGAAGGCAGACAGTATTAAGCTGTCCCCAGTGATGTCATGCAACTTGTATGTATAAACCTCTGTACAACTGTGTTGTCCTAAATATTTTTAATGGTTTCTATCTGTATGGCTCTTATTTTAGAGGTGTCATTGGAGTGACATGTTCACAGGGAGACTAAGGTCTGAGATCCCTCCTGCATTGGTAAGTAAAAACTAGATCTGAGACTTCTGACTAACATAACTTTTTTTCTCACCTGTCATGCTTTTTGTGGGAGTATGTTTTTTAGCACAGAGCTGATCTTTCTCTACGCTGTTAACACTAAGTGTCTCAGAATAGGTGAGTGATTCTTTTTTGCTCCTTCTGTATGAGGTGGAGAAGAGTTGATAAAAGGCCAAATGCAAGTCCATGCTAGTGAAGAAGCTTGTCACTGGGGAAAACATCCTCATGATCCCATAGATGATAGAATGGGAATTAAGCTTTCTAAGTAAAAGCATATGGCCATCTCTTCCAAGAGCATTACAGAGCTCCCCACCTCCTTGAGTCCTGTGAAGCAAGAACATGATAAACTCAACAGAATGAAAACAATATTTCTTTTAGCAGTGTAGAGGGGGGAACTCACTTTGAAAAATGTGTATTTGACCTAAAGGGATGGGATAACTTCTTGGTAACTGCCGTATAGTTTTCTTTAGCTTAATTTGCACAACTTCTTCTCTGGCTTTAGCTGTAAAGTTTTATTTCCCCATGCAGCTTTGCTGAATGTCTTTGAAGTGGAAATTTTTTGTAGCATCACTGTCATACCTAGCCACTGCAGTGATGCTGTCACTAAAAGTCAATCCACTCCCTCCCTCCCTCCCACTGCCATCTGTTTCCTTACAGATCTCTTTGGGGGATGCACTCATCACTGCTGGAGCCCAGCTGGTGGAGCTAGACCTGAGTGACAATGCCTTTGGGCCAGACGGTGTGCGTGGCTTTGAGGCACTGCTGAAGAGCCCTGCATGCTACACCCTACAGGAACTCAAGCTCAATAACTGTGGCATGGGCATTGGTGGTGGCAAGGTAAGGGTTGTCTCCTTTTTGGGAATGAGGTCAGAGCCAGGACTTGGCTTCAGACTGCCCACGGTGTGCGTGGCTTTGAGGCACTGCTGAAGAGCCCTGCATGCTACACCCTACAGGAACTCAAGCTCAATAACTGTGGCATGGGCATTGGTGGTGGCAAGGTAAGGGTTGTCTCCTTTTTGGGAATGAGGTCAGAGCCAGGACTTGGCTTCAGACTGCCCTACACAGAATCACAGAATGGTTGAGGTTGGAAGGGTTCTTTGGCGATCGTCTAGTTCAAGTTCCCTGCTCGGGGCAACTAGACCAGGTTGCTCAGGGCTGTGTCTAGTCAGATTTTGAATATCTCAAAGGATGGAGACTTCACAGGCTCCCTGGATAGTCTATCCCAGTGTTTAACAACCCTCACAGTAAAAAAGCGGTTTTTGTGTTTAAATGGAATTTTCTCTGCATTGGTTTGTGTGCATTTGTGTCTGGCTCTGCCTTCTTTACGCCACCTTCTCCCCCCATCCTGTTATTCTGGCTGTTCTTACACATGGATAAGATCTCCCCCAGAGCCTTCTCTTCTCCAGCCTTTACAATCCCAGCTCTCAGCACTCTTCCAGTATGTAAGATCCTCCAATTCCTTAATCATCCTTGGGGCCCTTTGCTGGACTCACCCCAGTATGTCCATGTAGGAGCCTGGAACTGGACACCATACTCAGATGCATTTCACAGGGCTGAGTAGAGGAGACTGATCACTTCCCTTGACCTGCTGACAATGCTTTTCCCAAGGCAGCCCAGTAGACGTTCTTTGCTGCAAGCACATATTGCTAGCTCATAGTCAACTTCTCACCCACTAGGACCCCCAGGTTCTTTTCTGCCAAGCTATTTTGCTGCCAGTTGACCCCCAGCTTATGCTGGTACATGGGGTGATTCCTCCCCATTTGCAGGACTTCGCATTTCCCTTTAAACTTAATGAGATTCTTGTTGGCCCATTTCTCCAGTCTCAAGATCCCTTCCCTCTACATGTTTTCATGGATAAATTTCTGAAGTATGAAAAGCTCATCTGTTTTTCCAGGGTAGGAAAACAGTTCTATCCTAAACATTAGATTCCATGTCAAGAGAGCTAGTAGCCTTGGATTTGAGAGAACAGTATTACCAGGCCTAGCACTAAAGGGATGCCTGTTGGATGAAGCAGAAAACTGGGACTAACTGTCGTTATCACTAAGACCCTATATGTTTGCCTGTTTAAGAATCAAATGTTCTTCATGGGGTCAATGTGTTCTAGTGTTGCAAAACTATCACTTCTGGCCTAAGACTGTAGTGTGCAAGTGTTGTAGTTACAGACAGTTTTATTGTACGCCCTACTGTAGAAGCAGGTACATTTCAGTGGTGATCGAAGTACTTCTTGCGAGCTGGATATACGAAACACACTTGGATTCCTTCAGAATTAGATGCTGAGGTAGTATAAACTGCTTGTTTTATCTTTAGATATTGGCAGCTGCTCTGAAAGAGTGTCACAGGAAATCAAGTGCCCAGGGCAAGCCTCTTGCTTTGAAAATATTTGTGGCTGGTAGAAACCGTCTGGAGAATGATGGTGCCACTGCCCTGGCTGAAGCCTTTGGGGTAAGTACCAAACCAGAGCTTCTTGACAGCAAATTGGAGCGAGGCGTGCTTAAGTGCTAATGTTAAAGATAATGCACACAGCTTGCCTCAGCTTGGAGGCAGTGGCTGGTTGTTGGTTCACTAAAGTAGTGATGTTGTTTGCTGCTGAAACTGGAGTCTTCAACAAGTGCAATCAGAATTGATGACTGAATGTTTCTGTGACCTAAGTTTCCAAACACATAACTAGTGGCTGTGTAAAGTAGTTGCTTGAGGGCATCTCCTGAGTAATTTAATAGTAGTCCTATTCCTTCTCCTCCCTCTGTGCTAATGGAGGTTACCTGGCACTGGGGTAGCTGTACCAGCTGACCTCTTGAGTGCTTCTTTGCCTACATGTTCAATCATCTGGCAAAAGCAACCTAGTGTTTTCACTAGTATCATCCTGTGAGGGCTCTAAATGCTGCCTAGCTTTCTCTAGCTGTCACTGGCCAACTTGCACTTTTGTTGGAGGAAGAGAATTCATTGTGGTTGGGGTCACCTAACTCCCTTTTCTTTCCTCCATTGCTGCTAAAAGTGACTTCTGGATTATAATGCGTATTGAGAGATATATTAACAATGATATTGCAGATTATAAGTTGTTCTTTTTGTAAAGAGCTGTCTGGATGTGATTTTGACTAATCAGTGATCATGGCAAAAATAAGACTTCTTAAATACTTGAGAGGCACATAACAGAGTGATTCATGAGGAATTCAGACTGAATGACACTACCAAAATGGGATTCATTACTGTGTTTTGTGACATGCTGTTTAGTCCATAAACAGTGTTCATACTAATTTTCTTACAGGTTTGCTTCTGCAGTCAGGGCAAAACATAGATCTTAGAAAAATACTTACCGTATCCGGTGATGTTGCTTGGTCTGTTTCAGTGTTGTTGAACCACAGGTGAAGAACTCTTGTTTTAAGGTATCTAGAGCAGGCTCGCTAGGAGGATGCTACTTGTGACTCTTAGAATCAGGGCTTTGTGTTAATCTGACACTTGCCATGAGCCTGCAATTTCACTTAGATTTGTGACAAAATTACTGGTAAATAATTCTATGTAGAAGAACTAATGGAGTTTTGACTTGGAGGAAAACAATTTTAAGCAAATCCTAAGAAGTGGAGCACTGTACTCTTCAGTTGAAGTACGTCTCCTAAACAGCTTTTTTTTCATCTGCATCCTTTTCCAGATCATTGGGACTCTAGAAGAGGTCCATATGCCACAGAATGGAATTAACCATCCTGGCATCACGGCACTGGCCCAGGCCTTTGCTATCAACCCACTGCTTAAGGTTATAAACTTGAATGACAACACCTTCACAGAGAAAGGAGCTGTGGCCATGGCAGAGGTGAGTTATTCTAAGCAGTTGCTTTGGGTTTGTCTTCTGCCTCCCAGTCTCCTCAAGTATAGTTAGCATTAGCACATCTGTGTTGGTGGAGCCACATGCCGTGCTGCAGGGGGAAAGATGACCTTCCAGGAATGATAGGACGTTCATTTACTTGCATGTCTGTACTTTCAAATTTGTGCTGTCTTGCAGACGCTGAAGGCGCTTCGGCAGATTGAAGTGATCAACTTTGGAGACTGCCTGGTGCGTTCGAAGGGTGCTGTTGCTATTGCTGATGCTGTTAAAGAAGGGCTTCATAAATTAAAGGTATTGTCGTCTTGCTGTTCAGCTTTGAATCTCTTTAGAAAATGCCTAGTTTCCCATTTCCAGTTTTTCTGTCCGTTCTCACACCACTACCGATTATTTTAAAGTGGGATTCACTTCAGTGCAGGCTCTGTGCTCACAACTCAAAAGCAATAAGCTTTATTGTAGATCACTGGGATCACTACATCCAGCTAAAGCTATTCTACATGGAGGTGTACCAGTGATCTGTTTAGACTCCGCTTGATGTTTTTGAAGCTGTTGGTTCAACTCAGCATGTGTTATTCAAGAAATCTGATAATGGAAGTACCTGCTTTTAGAACCTCTCAGAGGGTCATGAGCAGGGACTGAGACATTCCTCTTCATGAACAGCTTGTAATCTCTTCAGCATTTCAGAGTTCACACAGTTAATGCTTTTTCTTTGTTAGGGCATGTATCAAAGGTCCAAATATTTTTAGGTTTTTGGCAATACCACAGCCTTCTACATCAGTATTTGCACAGGACTTGCATTTGACAACATTCTAGACAGGCCTAAGTCCAGTCAGTAATGTAAGTAAACTAGAATCTCTAGAAACACCTGCCATGGGTCACAACTGCACCAGGACAGATGCTGAACACATAATTCCTAATCTTGCAAGCTTACAGTCAAAGCCAAAAATTCAGCTGAGTGCTAGTATTTATTTACGTATATGAACCTGGTACAGAAAGAAGTAGGTGCTTTGTGGTGTGAGATCCTTTGCTCAGGCTTCTGCTGGTTCTGCTGAAACTTATGTCTAAGTCTCTCAGGAAAAAAGTAAGGATTCTGATGGAGGTATTGAGATGAACAGCCAGAAGTTAAAACCTTTTTTCTAGAGCAGAAGTGGTTAAGGGAGGGTAGCATGAAGCAATCGTAGTTGATTCATTCTGTTCAAGGACTGCTTCCCTTTTGCTGTTAATATTAAATCTCTTCTCAGGAAAGGATTGAGCACAATGTGGAATGGTGGGGAGTGGTGCCTGGCTGTTGAATAACTTTACTCTTAGTAGTCTGTCCACAGTTTCTCTGCTGGCTGTGTTTATCAGAAGTAGTACCACTCATAGTTTGTCTTTTGAAGGCCTTAACTTGCAATATAAGTGTTCCAAAGCAAATGTGCAGTCCGTTTAGTGTAGTAGCTACCCTTCTTCAGTAAGACTTACTGGTGTGTGAATTCCCGAATGCTCTTGTGACTCTTGAATAAGTGAAGATCTCCAGTCAGCTGATTGCTAGGGACTGAAATGTCTGCTGCCTTTTAAGTGAGCAGTCAGGATGGTCTGGTCTCTGTGGCTATTCTAGTAAAGTGGTTACCTCAGTAGTGCTGCCCTTAACAATAGTATGTTTCAAAATGCCCCTTTTAGGTATATGAAGTAGGAGTATCTGTCAGGTTTTATTTCCAATTAAAAATACTTTTTTTTGCTAAGAGTCTCTTCAAATGAGGTTCTTTCCAGAACACTTGTGAGCACATGAAGCTTATGGAGATGAGAGATGTTAATAGGAATTCTGCAAACAAATGTCCTTCTGCTTCTTAGGAACTGAATTTGTCCTTCTGTGAGATCAAACGAGATGCTGCTCTGACTGTTGCTGAAGCTATTGAAGATAAGGCAGAGTTGGAGAAGTTGGATCTCAATGGTATGTCAGTTTGCTAGATCAAAGTATGTCTAGTCTGATCCCAACTAGAAACCGGTAGGAAGAATGTTGACAGTACCGCATGTTCTAGTCTTGCAATTGTCAACATTTAAAAAAATGGTACTCTGAGAGTAATTGAACTTGGATGACCTCAGGACAGGATGCAGTTATATTCTGAAAGTTTTCTTAAGCGATATACTCAGTTAATTGTTGAAGTTAAGCAGTTTCAGTACATCTCGTAAGGTGGAAAGATTAAATTGATACCTATACCTGTTTTCAGTAAAACTTTAATTGTTCATTGTGATCTCAGATATTTCATACTTGCAAACAAAAAGCTCTGTGCACATCTCTGCAGAAGAGTGGGAGAAGTTTGACCAGTGTCAGCTTTTGCTGTTCATACCTTGGGTCACTGCATTTCAGTGGTACTGTGCCGGGTGTCCTTGTTTTAGAATCACTGAGAACAAGAGCTGTTTATAAAACTAGCAGGAAGTCTCTCAAAGACACTCTGAAAAATTATGGGGTTTGTTTGTCTCCAACCATTGTGTAATGCTGCTGAAACTTGTTTAACAACTGTTTGATTCTGATAACTGAGGGCTGCATTGCTACCTCTAAGGTGTGTAGAAATGACTGATACCTCTTCAATTTCAGAAATAAGAGGTAAACAAGAATCTATAGCAAAATCCTCAAGAACAAACTTGTGTGCATCTGTTAAGTCTAATCCCTTTCCCCTATCAACCTAGGTAACTGTCTGGGAGAAGAGGGATGTGAGCAACTCCAGGAGATCCTTGAAGGCTTCAATATGGCAGCTGTGCTGGGATCTTTGAGGTAGGCAGGGTACCAGAGTTTAAATCAGAAATTTTCTGACAATTTTCATCAATGCTTTCATTCACCTATCTGTTTTAAAACAAAGAACTGTAACATTGCGGACGGAAGTTGGTTTCAGTGTGCAGTGTGGAGCACCATTAGGGGATTCCATAAGCAGGATAAGCCTTATGTCTCGTTTTCATCGATGGACTTGTCTTAGTCTTAGTTGTTGATTGCATTCCTCGCTCTTTGCTTGCCATTGTCAACTAGGCGACTGAAGCCTGAGTGTCCTCTTAATCTGTTGTAGATGGAGATGTACTTCTTGCCGTAGGACTTGAGGGGAGGCTGCTTTTTTGTTCTTGAAAAAATGTTTTGAGTTGCAGTGTACAGGAATTGCAAGTGTGTAGTTAATGTAATATGTAACTTTCAAACCTTAGTGATGATGAAGGGGAGGAGGAGGAGGATGAAGAGGAGGAGGAGGATGAAGATGAGGAGGAGGAGGAAGAGGAGGAGGAGGAAGAACAGCAACAGCTGAAGGAGAGAGGACAGGGAGAACAGGAGTCACTGACTCCTAAGAAGATAATTGATTCACAGGTAAGCTTACTTCCAGATGTATTCCTGTTTCCTCAGCTGGAGGGAGAGTAAAAGAAGAAATGAGATCTGGAGTGAGTCTGAACTTGGAGTGCTGGCAGGCATTCACATTCCTGCGTGGGCTGGCACTGTAGTAACAGTCAGGGAGATAACATGCAGGAAATAAAGAAAATGGATGACTTGGAAACATGTTTTGTTAAAGTGTGCATGTGCACACATGCATGGAGGGAGAGGATGAGTAGCAGTTGTAACAAACATGGGTAGAAAAAGTCTTCCCATGTTCAGAAAATGGTGGGAACCTTGTACATGCAAAGCCATGTAGTTGTGCTAGCATATTCTGGCTATTCCAACTCTGGGCTCATTCCAGCCTCAAATAGTTTTCAAATAGAACAAATCCTGACCTGATGTACCTGTGTCCTGACCTGTCCTATGTGCCTTTGCTGCTGAACCAATTTATTTACTTCCAAGAATAGACTTGAGATGGATTCTGCCTGTTTCAGGATTCAACTCCAGTGCCGTCTCCTCCTGTGGACATTGCCACGTTCCTTGCTTTCCCATCACCAGAGAAGCTGCTGCGACTAGGACCAAAGTGCTCTGTGCTGATAGCTCAGCAGGTAGGTGAGCCGGTGGTCTTCTGTGCTTGATTCTCTCTCAGAATCATTTAATCCCCAGAGGTGGTAACTTTCTCTCTTGAGACTTAGATTTGCATCTTCTCCCCAGTGATCCTGAGGAACCTCACGGAAGCAGATGATGCAGTTAACGCTTATACTGGCACCAGAGCTTCTACATAGAGTAACTTTGTTTCACAGTGTTGCTTATGCCTTGTGATATTGCCAAGGCAAAACCGATGTCAGTCAGCTGAAGGCTGTAATTTTGTCACAGCCCTAGCAGAGACCCATCTTCTGTAGCTGGTGAGCAGTGAACTGAATGGCCCCTGATTTTTTTTTTTCTTGTCTTTCAGACAGATACATCTGATGTAGAGAAAGTAGTTACAACTCTCCTAAGGATATCCTCGGTCTTCAAAGATGAAGCTCCAGTGAAAACAGCAGTGCATGAAACAACAGGTGACTGGGCCTTTCTCCACTTCATGGTGTGACCTGCTTCAGTGTCAAGGACACCAGTGTGATGCAGAGGAAGGCCCCTGTGGGCCAGGCCATTGGACTGTTTTGTCCCTTGCAGCAGGAAACCCCAGATAACAAAGTGCCAAGCTGTGCCATGCTGTTGTATGGAGTGAAAGTAAAGATTCGTTCTGAACTTAGCGTATCTTGTGCTTCCAGAATATTGGTCCTGAGGGAAAACAGTTGAACAAGTTTTCTCATTGTGTTCTCATTCCTTTTGGTTTCAAATGAAAGGTGAATTCTTGCTGGCCTTCAAAATTTTAAGGCTCTAACTCTTGCTGCTCTACTTCATCTGATCATATTTATATACATGTATGCATATAGCAGGCATGTTCAAATGCATTGAGTAGAGCATTTTGTGATGCATAGGACTGAGGTCAAATTACATCTGAAGCTTGGCAATATGTGAATTTTGGGGTTTTTTTCAATTTTTTTTTTTTGTTGCTGGTTGGGTGTTTTTTCCTCTTCCTTTGTATCAAGCCTTATACCTAAGGACTGGGTTTTATCTGTCTTGCTGTTTCAGAGGTTATACCTAGTCCCTGCGGAGACAGCTGGAATCTTAGCAGATATTACCTCCCCAAACTCCTTTAACAGCTGATATCCCCTGAGGTCCTGTATGATCAATCTTGATCTTAAAATCTGTAACAGCATCCCTTTCTGTATTGTTTAATATGATGCATTTATTTCTTTTTAGATGCCTTGATGAGAAAAGCCTTCACTTCTGCCACATTTAATTCAGATGCATTCATCACAAGCCTCTTGATCCACATGGGGCTACTTAAGGTGAGGAAGCAGGAAAGAGTTAAGTTATGGTCTGTTTAGGCTGTTGAAGACCAGACTGGCTGGGTTTTGGGTAATTATGTTGCCATGGAAGCAGCTGGGTGCCTGTGCATGCCTGATGCCCAGGGACAATGGAAGTCTGCAGGTCCAGCAGAAATTGCAAATTGCAAGGTTGCGTTAGGATGAAGGAGGTGTCAGCTCTTTGTCCCTTTTCTGCTTAATGGGCTCTGCATTCTCAGTCATCCCCTAAAGGTAGGGAGGGTCAGGTAAGGAAATAGTGCTGCCGCTGGACTATGGTGTCTATAAAAAGCCATGTCCAGGAGTCTAATCTACAATATTATTAGTTAATGTGGTCCTTTCAGGCATTTCTTAATAGCGTGGCTCAAAAACATATATCCAACTACTCATGCTAGATCAGTAGCATTCAACTTCATGCTTTGAAGTATCTGCCAAATACTAGTGTTAAATATGTAGTTACAGGGATTAAACTTCCTTGTGAGAAAAGATGGAGGGGCAGTAGGAAACCTACAAATTGCATTAGAATACCTGTAGCTTTACTTTCAGTGAGATGACTGGGGAGAGGTTCTGTCTGCAAACGTAAGAAGCACCTTTGCCTACTTGTGCTACAAGGGTTAATGTTTCTCACTGCCTCATGACCTAGAAGCTGAGAATGGAAACTTGGACCAAGACAATTCTAAACCACAGAATAGCCATAATCTATGTTATAGCAGCCTGGTCTTAATTAGGTTTATGGATTTCCTTCTGGTAATATCCAGCTTGGGGTACAGACAGCTGTTGACATGCTTGGATACATCTTATAGAATAGAATCATAGAGTAGTTTGGGTTGGAAGGGACCTCTAAAAGTCATCTAGTCCAACCCCCCCTGCCGTGGGCAGAGACATCTTCAACTAGATCAGGTTGCTCAGAGCCCCATCCAACCTGACCTTGAATGTTTCCAGGGATGGGGCATCCACCA